AGATCAATTAGGAGCTAAGCAGAACGTTCTGAGGTGATTTAAAGCGCAGGGCCCATAACCTGTGAGGCGCAGATAATCGAACACTCGAAGAACGACTGTGAGAAGCGTCACTGTCAATGATATTGCCCTCACAAAGTAATAGAAAAAGAAAGAGACAAAATCTATAGTAAGACTCACCTGTGAGAAGCGTCACTGTCAATGATAAAGAGACAAGGACGCTTCCCACAAGTTAAAAGGACGCGCTCCGGCGCTTACCGGTCTACTATACAGTTGGAAAACTACCTGCCTAAACGGGACGCAGAGGCGCGGAACCGAGGCGCGGAATCCGGCCCTCTGCGGCCCGCTGGCTGGCGAAATAACTAAAGTCATAACTCTGCAGTAAGTGGTCCTATCAGTCCCGGAAAAATTGCTAAAATATCAGGAAAATTCCCTCTGTCTCGTCGTAATACTCCGGACAGTCAGAGACAGAACAAAAAGATCCCGCACTGCCCTCTGACTCATTCTCCGAGTGGGGGTCACCTTCTCAGCCAATGCTTTCGGGGTCAGACCCGTCATCATCCATAACCTCGTCCTCCTCTGGATCGGGATCGGTGCTCTTGGGGCTTGAACACTGTTTCTTCGAAGACTTGAGTGTCTCCGGTGTAGGATCGCGCTTGGGTTTAGCAGGTTTCCGACCCCATCCGCTTTGTTTACCCCCAGCCCTCATATTGGCTCGCTTCTTTTCCCACTCACGGACCAATTCCGCATAAACTGCATCGATGCAACTGTTCTCCTTTCCTCTCCATTCTCTCACCTTCTTGTTATCTGCCCTCGTCCTCTCTTTCTCTTTCGCTCGCCTATCGTCTTCCTCCACGGCAGCGTAGAACTCGGGACCAGTCCAAATGTGGCCCTCTGGGGCATTCGTGTGCGCCAACGCATCCGCCTTTCCACAGCTCCTCTTATTTTCCTCCGCATACAACTTCTCCCTCAATCCATCATTATACAAGCCCTGCATCACCATCTGGGCGTTCTGACTTTCGACAATATCGCGACCTTCATTGGCTTGGCCTTCCAAGATCTTCACATGCTCCCGAAGTGCACGAATTTCGTCGTCCTTCTCCTTTGGCGTTTGGCCGGTTCCTTCGAGCGAGATGGAAGGAGTGTTGTGCAAAGGGAGGTGTCTGATCGTTGGAGAAGGAAGTTGTGTAGAGGATGTGAAGGAACCGTGTTCAGGTAGGAGAAAGGAATAGTCAGAGTGCTGCAAGTATCCAAAGGTATGTTCGACTCCTTGCTCTACCTCTGTAGTCGAATGTGGCGAGGCAGAGTTTGTTGTTGGAGATGTATCGGATGGTGTTCCACATGCGCAAGATGTTGGCCTGTTTGGACCCCTAAAGTCATCGTACAACAATGCCCGGGTAGAATGGGAGAAGAGGCACAGACACTCAGCACGTGTTGAGAACTTCCTCGAGATCTACGTGATTGCACACTGCGCCACCTTCACCGAAGCAAATATCTTAGCGGCTTTCCAAAAAACCGGACTTGTTCCATTCAACCCGGCTGCCATACCGCAGAGTGCGCTGGAGCCCAGTAAAGAGCTTTCGATTCATGGCGGGTTCCCCATCAATCCTCCTAGCCCTGCGAAAGAGATCCTGGAAGCTTTCCGAAAGGTGCGCCACACTCGTAGAGTGACAGAGTCGTCCACACATTCCTCCACACACCGTGTCCAATCACAGTCTCAGGAGAGGGAAGGTCCCACGAGACTGACAGAGAGATGTCGTTTGCAATGGCATGGCTCAGAACGGCAAGGGAGTAGTGGGTTTGTTGGATGTCGAAGACTAAGACTCACTCAGCACCTAGGTCTTTATCCTTGGTATCCTTGTCGAAATGTTCTATCCAGGAACGGCCGATAAGGTTGTTTGTGTATCCTTTACGAGCACAGGATACACTGTAGTGATTGTCATGGTCAGAAGAATGTGGTGCATGAAAATATAAGCTGATTTTACGCACTGAGCAGGTAATGGGTTGTTATCCCTCCACTTCTTCAGCATCCGTTTGCCTTTGAAGATAACAGTTGGTGGAAGATACGAGCCATCAGCACAGATGGGTGCCATCACCATCAAGCTTGTTCTCCCTTCACCCGATAGCTGGTACGTGTTCTTCGTCCCCCGCTTACCAATAACTCTCATCTTTCGACCCACTCCTGGAAGGAAGTTAACTTCATCCATTGTATAGATATTGTGTGGAAGGATGCCTCGATCGACCACATGGGTCTTCCAGGCATTAAACCAGCTCTCGAGGGCCTTGGGATTTGCGGCGCTGGCACGGTCTTTCGTCAAGGATGAACTCCAGTGAGTGGCTATGTTGTGAGCTATCGGAGACGCTAAAAACTGATCAATCCAGCTGTCAGTGACAGCGTAGCCTGCTTTCCCCTTGATCCTCAACAACTCCGCGACCTTCTCCTTCAACACGCACCAAACAAGTGGCAGACCTTGGTCGGCACATGCCTCTATCCATTTGACGAGGGTTAACCGAGACGAACGAGAGAGGATGTTTTTGTTGTCATTACAGTCCGTGTTCGTGCGCATGTTCAGGTTTTGGTGGTGTCGGGTGACCGTGGTATGGCTGACGCCGTGAATCTTTGTGATCGTGGTCACACTCCGACGTTCTTTTTTGGGCTTGTGCTGTTCAAGCTCGTATTCAGCTATGGCGGCTTTCTTTGCTGTGTCATTTGATTTTGATACTTTAGCCTTCTTTTTGAGCTCAGATTCTGCATGTCGGGCCATAGTGAAGGGCTGTGCTGGTGAATGGTTTACATCGTCGCCACACGAAGCGCTCGAACATGGATGCACAACAGATGCACGTGACCATGAATTCCCCTAAAGTTTGCATCCTCGCTCGAATGTCCTGTAGAAAATCAATATGAGAACCTATAGGTCCCACATTGTAGGGATACATTCCACATGTAATCAGCACTGCAAGGAATATTTTAAGACATTCTCCATGCTAAAATTGCTGCTCTGCCATTACACTTGTATAAAATAAATTCACCATTTTATTCACGGAGACGGCAATTGTGCATGAAACACGCAGAGAAAAAAAGGGAGAGTAGCCACGATTGTATACTACACATGTTATCAGAGCCATATTGACAGGTATCTAGCTGGAGAGGCCGTAGAAAACAACAGTGCAAGGACCGGTGATTGTGCAAGGACCGGTGGTTGACTGAAGTCATAACTCTGCAGTAAGTGGTCCTATCAGTCCCGGAAAATTTGCTAAAATATCAGAGAAATTCCCTCTGTCTTGTCGTAATACTCTGGATACCACACAGTTCCCTATAGGGAGGGATTATGATGGAAAAAATAGTAAACATCTGTCTTAGGCTCACATGATCATAGACTCCAGCCAAATACCAAAGATGCATACTCATTGAGCTCAAGGTTACTGTCCTAGACCAGGATCTGAAAAGTGGCCTATAAGTGAAGAAATTTAGCGTTTGACAGATTCCCCTCATAATACTAACCTATAATTTTTACCATGTTCTTGGATTGAATATCCTATGAAATATGCAGACTTTTGTGCTGAGCTAGTGAATGGATGGGCAGAGAAAAATTGAAAGGTGTCAAAAATAGTCTGTTACACCTCCGCACCAATTTGGAGTGGCAAAATTATGCTCATCACAGGCATCTCAAACAAATTATGAACTTGATAGATTTATAAGAAAAGTCCTTCACAGAGTTCAAAGAGTAGAGTACAGAAATGAAAACAAAGTTTTGGATCTGGGTCAAGGACAGTACTTATTCAAGGTCCACATAACTCTTGAGATAGACATTAATCTGAGATGATCTACTGAGACCAAGGGTTAGAACATGATCCCAAATAAGCTGGTTATTATTCAGGTGACACACTACAAAGAGTACTAAGACAGAGTTGCCTCAGGAACTCTACCAAGCATGTAGTTCTTCCCCCAATCTTCCTCTTTAACTTCTAATTCGTCATATGTTTTCTTGGGGAAAAATAAGACAGTGGTGATATGTCTAGGGGTTACTTTGGATTTCTCTTCTGCAGGATCTGCCACTGGAGTCCATTCTCAAAGTCCATGTGCCAGACCATCAGTGTGACCCATGAATGCATGTCCTTTACAGTAACTATAGAAAATAATAATAGTGAGAGACATTTCTTATACTTCTGAATTGCAGAAAAAAATTACTATAGGAGAGCATCAAGCTCTGGAACCTCTATGTGTCATAGCCGGGCTTACTTGACGTCAATCTGAGTGTCTTCCATGGCTGATCCTGGTCCAAAGGTGAAGAGGTGGTTTGAGGTCGCAGATAATGTTCGCGGGATGGTCTGAAGAGACAAGGTTGAAGGGGTGAAAGGTAGATTGATTCACAGAGCTAGTCCAGGTGTTGATGAGCTTAAAGCTAGGGTACATAGATACATGCAGACCACTATATATATTACGAGGGGCGAGGAGCTGGGGAGGAGGTTCTGAGCCAATCAGATAGAACGTGAAAGATAGAAGTAAAGGAGGACCGGTTAAGTCGGTTGACGAGGTAGCCGGACTCTGGGATACAATTGGGTAGCCAATCGGAAAGGAGAAGTGGTTAATCCGGAGTGACACGTGTTAAACGTGAGGGGGCCAATCGGAAGTGATATGGGAACATAGAAGAAGTAAGGCTGGGAGGAGCCGGAAGTCGTGGTCAAGGGATGTAGGGGAAACTCGGAGTAAGTGGAGAGGGATGTATTTAGGGAGGGGGGAAGTGGGAAGGCTAGAGAGAATTGTAGAGGCAAAAAGAAAGGGAAAAGAAAAGAAAAGAAAAGAAAAGAAAAGAAAAAAGAATATGTTTGTATGTATGCTCCTTACACCATGTATGCTCACTGGACCCACAGGCAAAGCTGGCTCTAACATCCTTGTTATATTAGTCATAATGCATGAACAGCCACATTTTGTAGAGCAGTGTACGTGCAATCCAAGGACCAGTAGCACTGTCGATAGTCCTTCCAGCTGCAAATCTCTTCTTGACCTCATGGTATACTTCTGGCCAGAAAACATTCAAGTATTCGGCCAGAATACCTGTGATGGGTTGAGATTGTGCTATATACCGTTCTAGAGAGAGCCTGAAGCCAGAGCTGCAGACTGTGTCTGATGACACAGAGAGGGGCTGACTTTTCATATAAGTAATTCAAAAAAAAAGAAACATACACACAACAATGACAATGAAATCAAATAGTCAATTCACATTATCGGGGTGTCCTTGTTGCTTCCAAGCATGAGCAAACTGATACACTCTCTTTCTTTCCACCTTGCGGGAGTCATCACAGGTGACATATCAGAACAAATAATTCTCAAGCTCTTCCAGGTTTTCTGGGTGACAGACGTCTATGGGTACCATTGGTGGACTCTGACTGATCAAGTACTGCACAGTGTACTTGTAAGGGATAAGGAGGTTCTCCTGTTTGTCAAATCGGAGTAAGCTGAAGATGCAGAACATGACTATAATATACATACTGGAATCCCATCTGAAACATATTTCTGACCTTCCTCCACACCTTTCTTGAGATCACTGATTGTACGACCATTGTACTGGGTCTCAAGGGTGAGGTATTTTTCCTCCTCTCTTTGTTTAGAAGGTCAAAAAAGGTCGAAGATATGAAAGAACCAGGATCGAACACTCACAACCGGATCATCAGACCATTGATATCCAAGGTATACACCTAGAAGTTAATCATTTACATCAACATATATGGTCGTGAACGCCAAGGGCTCTTTATCCCCCAGCTGCTGCTCTGCTAACTTACGCATATTCTTGAGAGTTTCGGCTGTGTTCTTCTTCTTTTTACTCAGTAGAGCTTCTAGAGTCTTGTCTACCCAAACAAGAGGTGCGTTATTAAAGACATGCAGGGCCCTTTTGGCAGCACCTTGGATAGCCCTTTTCTGGATCTTATCCTGGGCTCGGGCCCGAGAAGAAACAGGGACCAAATGAGAAGGTCTAGTATCTTGGTCAGGGGGCTGAACCCAGTACTGCTTGGATATAGTTTTCTGTTGAAGGCAGATCAATACAAACAGTGGTTTGCCTTAAGTATTAGAGACGTCTATTAATATCAAGACCGACCTTTTTTGGATCCCATTTGGAATGGTCCAAGTCTCAGCTGCTGTCCTCGACTTGGTCAGGTCCCCTCGTTATCGACCAAGGTACTTGATCGAGCTCAGGATCCGCATTGTGTTCGTCTGTCTATTCCAGAGGATCATTCTATAATGTTGGATACCTGTGCAGGGCTCAATGACTCACAAGCTCGACTCTGACCCATACTCCTTTTTTGGCAGCGGTAGGAGTATCTGGAGAAGTGTCTGACTGTTAAAAACAAATTCAGCAATGTTGGATCAGAACTTAGATGAGTGGAAAGTAGAGATCACTCACCCTCTGTCTCTTCTGGAACAAGTCAGTGGCAGACATGGTGGTCGGAAAGCAAAGGCTGTTAATTGATGGGAATTGCCATGCAGAGTGGCTGAGTAGAAATTTGCTCCTCAGAATCCAAAATCCCAGACCGAGGTCTGGGCTCCCGCTTTTGGCTATCTCATTCCCGTCCCCATCCCTGACTAACCATTCTTATTCAAAACAATTGTTCCTCTTGACTGCCACTATTGTCCCCTTTCATCATCTATATCAATGGTTATATTATGAGCAAGCACAATAGCAACAGAGAAGCTATTGTCATCAATAATTCCAGGCGTCCATGTACCACCTTTACAAAGAGTCCTTGTCCTAAGCTATTGGCTCTTTGCAAAGAGTCGTCTGCCAAAATATTAATGGCTCTTTATAAAGAGCATGGGCTGGTGGATATTCTGGCTGGGAAAATGACCGGAAAAATAGGCGGGAAAATGGCTGAAAAATGGTTGGAAAAATAGGTGGATGGGTAGGGGGTAGAATAGGGTAGAAAAATGGGGGTAATTGTGCAGCAGTGATAGAATAGATATATACAGGGTTTAGGGAGGATGTATGGGGCTAGATATGGGCTCTGGGGCTAGGGTAGATAGATAGATGGATAGGGATAGAATGGTAGACGATAAAAATACGGAAAAATAGGAAAATAATAGCAGGGATGTTGGGATTGATATACTGGGTACTGTAAGGGTGTATTAGTAGGGGAAATGGGGTGATCTGGGGGTGTTTTGGTAACTTTGTGAGTTTTGTGATTCAGAGTGAATGAATTGCAGGGGTTGGTGTTGTTTTGATGGAATTAGTTGATAAAAGAGTAAAATGTGGTCCAAAGTTGTCAACATGAAGGAGGCTGATTTTGGCGGTTCTTTGGCTTTGATAAACATGTATAAATGTATGTGAAAAACATATTTCAGATTTAGACAAATCTGTCCATGTGTTCCCAAGATATGGCAAAAACAAGTGGGGGGATATTCAGGGCTAGGGGTCAGCTATTCTGGGTACATTATTTAGCGGTCGGATCTCGTTCCTTTTGGGTAGGATGGATGTCATAACATTAATATAGCATGTAACAGCCATCCAAACGACAATATTTGGCTATATGGGCCTATGGGACACTGAGAAAGTGAGGGGAGGAGGAGGAGCACATGGATCTAGGCCCTATCTGGGATGTAACCATGGTCTATATTGGCTGGGAGATACCTGGATGAGGTAGATATACCATTGGGTAAACCCTCCATGGAGCTAAACAAGTGGAAATGACCCTCTGTGGATATAGGGATAGGGAGGGGTGTTTCTGGGTTTCTGGGTTACTGGGCCAGTGAATATTATTCTGGGTGTAATTTAGATCGTTTTCAGGTCATGTAACTTCATGGTAAATCATATAAAACATATAGAAAGAGTATCCAGTAGTTATAGTGCTGCTACATATGCCTAAAAGCTCTGTAGAACTTGTTCCATGAGGGTGAGGAGGAAAGCAGGGAATATTTCGCAAATATTTCGATATATATTCGCCAAATCACCGTGAAATGTTCTATAAATTGGTATGGGTACTGAGGAAACATATAGAAACATTTCTGGGTACATGGACTGGCCCAGAAAAACCTGCATATATAGCCAGAGAGACATATAGGGTGTATTTCCAGGTAGGCTCACCATATCTTTTCTACCTCAATTATTTGAGAGGTCTAAAAATTCATCTAACACCAGGGTTTTCATCTGGAGATAAGCCCCTAATCAGATCCAAAAAATTTCAAGTACATAGCTATCATATTAGTTTGATAGTGATACTGGTGTTTAGGATCATACAAGTGATGTATGCATGTCTACTTCTGACAAGACATCTGATATACAATCTGAGCATATGGTAAAAATGTCAGGAATAGAAGCTCAGAGGGGGCTGATGGCCCAGCACACACAGACACAGACACAGATATGGGGTACAGAGACAAGGGTAAGGGTATGTACATGGACGAGTTTTTGCAACCTAACCCTAACCCTAAACTGGGAGAACTCCGAACTGTGCCACAGTGGCCCCACAAATGTCCGCCACAACCACAACCGACAAAAAAATCTGTGGTGCCAGCATTAGAGGAAACCGTCAAACAGCAAGTTTTTCACTTCTAAGCCACTTTTCAGATCCGGGTCATTGACAGTAGAGTTATGAAAGCAGCTGTAATGCAGTCTTAAACGGACTGTTTGCACCTCTTGGCCAGGAATAAGGGGGTCACGGGATGTGAATCGAGGACCAGGGGTCGAGTTTTCTCGGACCAGTGGATGGGGACTACCTACCTACCTACGTAATCAGGCACACATCCAAAAAGGGAAGTATTTCAAATTGATCTCATGCCAAATTGTTTCGAGACGCGATATACCAGCACACAACGCGTACTCCGGGACAATCAAGATCTGCCCACCATGACTGGCAAGCATCTCAATGCAGTCGTTATGGTGAATGGTAATCCTCCGTACATATACACAAGGTGTCTCACTAGCTGCCTCTCCTCAATTCTTGCCAGGCTCATCACAGTACCAACTAATGGCATCTCCTCTTGCGCGTTGTCTTGGCTGTTGAGCACGACTTGCATATCCATCCTTTTGGAGCAAATTCCAGGCCTCCGACGCATGTTAAATGATACTGAAGCCTACTGTACGTCCCAGCAGTTAGACGACGCTTACATAACGTGGGAACTCCCATTTGGCGGGAGACTCGCGCAAAATTGGCGGGGGCGATGGGCCCCTTGGGACACCGGACATTGCCTAACGTCTGGGAGGTACAGTATTGTAAGTCACTTGCTTATAAAATATGACGCTGCGAAGAACAACTCACCCATTCGGTCTCACACCCAGCCTTCCTACAGTGCACAACATCTTCCGCACATGTGATTTCATCTCCACTCACCCTCGAACCACATAGGCAGTTGGCCAGGTGAGATATGTCCTTCCTCTTGCGTGTTACACGCATTGATTGAATTACGGTGTGCTGTGGCATAGAGTTCGTAGTGATACCAGTATCGCTTTGGAGCGTAGTACTGAGGTTCAAGCCCTCATCCAGTTGAGGTTGATGATTGTATGCAAGAATCACTTGACCGTTTGAGTGGGCACCTGTTGGCAAGAAGAATGAGTTAGAAGGTCGAGTGCTGTAGAGAACAAGGTGCGTCCCACTCATACCTCTGATACCTTGTTCGTTATTCTCATTGTCGATGTTATGCTCACTTCCAACCCTCTCGACTTGTCGAGAAGTCTCAACCCTCCTAACCCCACCTATGCTCCCTAGGGAACCCCGTTTCATATCCACTTCAGTTCCTCCCTCAACGATCCCCCCATCGTCGTCCTCTCCACTAGCGCCACCCTCTTCAACCTCGCGTCACACCTTGCCGTCAAGTTGTCGTTCGTCACTGTGACCACCACCGTCATCCGTCTCGGTCTCGTCAATCATATCTTCTTCCTCCTCTTGAACAACCTCCTCTTCTCCAACTTCCACCGTGTTCGCCACCTCCTCTCCGCTCCCTTCCTCCCCCTCGCTCTCATCAGCCAAATACCTATCAGTATCGATTAGCCTGTTAGACAACGAAACAGCGTCAATACCAAACATACCGAAAAGAAAGACGTGAACTGTGCGCTTTGGAGACCACGAGAGGTACGAGCTCCCTTCCCTTTTTTCTTCGAGGCTGCTGTCTTCCGAACCTTCCAAAGTTCCTGAATCACACTCTTTTCGAAATTTGAGAGCGTCCATACAGCCGAATAGGTTGGCAGGGAGGCGCTTAACGGGTGATGATGCTTGAAATGGGCTTCCATACTGTATCGCCACACAGCAGGTCGAGTAGGGCCACAGATTTTACACTCGAGGGAGACGTTCAAACTTGGCGAGGATTCGGATGACTCAGCTGCAATGTGGTATCTAAATGTGAGTTTATTGATACACGTTGTCTGCACAAGGTCGATTGAGAAGCCGGCATTGGCGCCTTTCCCTTTCTTGAGGCAGTACTCGCAGATTCCAAGAGCTGATGACCATAAGCACGTTCCACAAGTCTCTTCATTCTTGTTGATTGTTGGGTCATGACGAAGGTGCATAGCAAAATGTGTGAGTACCTGCTGAGCCTGTGAGAAGTTAAGCTCAATGTTACATTTTGAGCACATGTTTGGTGGGACATCTTGGTCTTCGCCGTTGCCCTCAGCAATGAAGCATGCTTCTCCTATAGAAGAATGTTTGAGTACAGTCATTGTATGTGGAGTCTGTGGACTCAAGCTGAGATCTACCTGTACGCTCACGATAAGGAAATTTGGGTGTTCATGCAGTACTAAAGCTAACCGGGTGTTCGGACACTTTTCAGTTGCTTTTCAGTGTTCCGGCTCTAGCACCCGCAATAAATCATTTTTGCTCGTTAATTTTTGTGCCATACTATCTGCATGTATACTCGTAGTCATAATCCCAGAGGGATAGTTTGTAGTTGCTCTGGATAATTAATGAGAGAGGGAAATAGGGGTGAATAGTGTCCGAACACTAGGTGGCCCCGGCCCGCTGTGGCACTGAGTGTTCGGACACTTTTTACCCCTTGTTACCTCTCTCTATCGCTACATTCCACTTCTATACCCTATTCCTTTGATAGGAATGTGTGGATCGGCGAGCCAAATAGCGTGGTGCAGAAAAGTATGACGAAAACGGATTTATTGCGGATGCTAGAG